TTAAGGAACAGAGCTGGGCACAGTGGAGCATGCCTCGTCCCAGCTACTCAGAAGGCTGAGGCAACAGGATGGCTTGAACCCAGGAGTCACAATTCTAACATAGCGTGAAACTCAGCTCTTTAAGAAAAAAAAAAAATGTTAGGAACAGCATGCAGTATAGGGCCTGACACATAGTAGGCACTCGGTATCATTTATTCAGTGAAATTGAGTTCATTTTCTATTATTTACACACAGTCTTTATTTATAGAGTTCTAGAATTGGAAACTGCCAATTTTCTGTTTCAGTGTTTGTTAATTAAATATTAGATGAGTATCACCAATCAAGGCATTTGATTATCAAAAAAGAAGTGTAGAAAGGAGAAGCACATTCAACTTCTCTTTTTTCCCCATTCTTTTTCTTTGTAATTTCCTTTCTTTGTTACGTTTTTCTTCTCACTTCTCTTTGCTCTCTAATTTAGTTTTCTACGTTAGCCATGAATCTTCTAATAATTGTTGATCTACTCTCATAGTTGGTGCCCGGTGCTGAAGAGCCTGCTGTAGGTAGTCTAAGGCAGGAAGGACCAAATAATGTATATTAAGGCTCTGTGATCCCATTAGGTCACAACTATACAACTATGCCTACCCTTGTAGCATGACAATCGCCATAGACAGATGAGTGTGCCTGTGTTCCAATAAAACTTATGGGCACTGAAATTTGAATTTCATATGATTTTCATGCTTCGTGAAATGTTTTTTCTTCTGATTTTTTTTCCCTCCAATTATTTAGAGATACATAAACTATTCTTGGCTCACGGGCCTTACAGATAAAGGCTGTGAGTTGGACTTGGACCCATAGGCTGTAGTTTGCTGATACCTGCTTTTATGAAGCAGGGATAAATAAGTATAGCCATAGAATAAAAAGCAAAATGTGAGGCCTGCCTGTTCCTAATTATATAGGTGACTTTACACCATTTTTGTTTTGTAACTAGCACATCAGAAAACATTGTATTAATTTACTGGGTTTTGGTTTCAGGTGGCACATTTAGAACGAACAGGGCATTACTTAACTGTGAAAGATAACCAGGTGGTTCAGTTGCATCCCTCTACTGTTCTTGACCACAAGCCTGAATGGGTGCTTTATAATGAGTTTGTGTTGACAACGAAGAATTACATCCGGACGTGTACAGATATCAAGCCAGAGTGGTAAGTATGCCTTTTGTTCTGATAGTATTTTGCTCAGAATGGAATGTGACTCTGTTGCTGGAGTCATGGCCTTCCATTTACTAATTCGGGGACTCGATTTTCTCCTCAGCTAGGGATGTATATTCCAGTGTGTAGGTATGGGCAATTGGCCTGATGGTATGGTTGATCTTTTCTTTCCTTTGATAAGAAAACAGTGGGATTGTTAGTGTGGCCTGTATTTGGAGCCAGATAAAGTTATAATTGAACAGCATCACGAGTTTCTTTGGAGCCATTCTCTTGCTGTTATGTGTTCCCTGGTTCTAGAAGTCAGTCTTTTTGTATATTTTATTTGTCCCATTACAGTTAGCTCTCAACTATTTATTATTTATATATTGGTTTTAGTATCTGTGCAAGCATAAAAATTATAGCTCTTTGTTTTTTAAAATAGCATATTTGCTTTTACAAAATGTAATTAGATTGGGTTGTTTTATTTTAAGCAAAATAACCTCTGCTCCTATGGGGGCTTTTGTTTTATTTATTTAGTTTTGCCAGAATACATTCTGTAACTTAGATGGAAGATGTCAGCCAAGAGTACTGGGACTGAAGGCACTATTTTAGGTGGTGTCGCTTGCTGTACGTTGTACGGCTTTTTTCCTACACTGATTTGCAACTTTGGACACTTCAATTGTGTAGTGTATTACCATTGTATCTAAAAGGCTTTGTTGAGAAAAAATTGTATGGTAAACTTTATGAAAGATTTCAGTCAAGTGTTTATTTTTGGGTTATAGAGTTATGTTTATAGTTATTAAAACATTGGAAATGAGAAGATCCAATCAGTTGAATGTCAAGGTGTTTCTTATACGGAACCTGTGTTGTTACTATAACCTGGAAGAGGCAGATTAAAATAGTGTGCTAGAGTGAAGAAGTGAAGTGACCTTATGTGTATGTTATTTTTATATTAATGTAAAGAGAAGGTTTTTAAAAGAATATATCTTGAGTTTTTTGAAAAGTTTATGGTAAGTTCAACATCAGAAAATTTACATCTTATTAAAATATTTAACGTTTTTCTAAGGGTGGTGTTTGTAAGGATTAGGCATTTGTATTTTTATCGTTGTTTTGGATTTGAAGATTTGCCTTAGTTCATCAGTATGTTAATAAATGATGCCTAACCTGTTAGTAACTTCTGTACATTAATTAAATGTTAATTTGGTAATTTATCCCCTCTTCTGGACAGGTTGGTGAAAATTGCCCCTCAATATTATGACATGAGCAATTTCCCACAGTGTGAAGCAAAGAGACAGTTGGACCGCATCATTGCCAAACTTCAATCCAAGGAATATTCACAGTACTGAATTCAATGCTTAGAACTGAAGCTATTCAGAGGACAGCTTTAAAAGATGAATGAACTCAAAAGTTCAAGTTGTGCTCTTCACGTTGGTTCAATAATGGCCTTTATTTGAAAGCTTTTTAATTTTTCTTTACAGTAAATATTCCATTCTGATTTCATAAATTAAACATTTATGCCTCCCTTTTGTGTTGACACTGTAGCTCATACTGGAAAAGTCGATCAATGTTTTGCAGTTTATTGAAAGTAGTTCTATATATAACAATGTTATAAGCATTTCTTTAGAAATGGTTGAAAATGCTTCTAAAATGTGATTATCGACCATGGTATGCATGATCGTTGTAATTGTTGACATTCCTTTTAGAAGTTGTGAAATGTTACAACTTGTGCTTATGTAGACACAATCTTCTGTCTCAGTACAGAGGCACTGACTTCAATAAAGTCTATTTATACTAATTTTGGCCAAAGCCCTTTGGTATCTTTGTTCTAGTCTCTAAGTATAGACTCTTCCCAAGTGTGGGGCTTTTTCTTTTTATATTATAATTATACTATTATTACATATTCAACATTTTTCCACGAGGAGTATTCCTTACATAAAATAGTCATTAAAGCAATATTTTTAAAAGTATAGCATAGCGCTTTGTTGGGTAAATCAGGATGTGATCTAATGGGGTAAAGTGTTAAGTGTTCGTTTGAAATTGGATCCCAAAAGACCAGAATAATGAAAGGATGGCTTTCTTCTTGTCTGTCTGAAAGTTTATTTCATAAGGCTGTTAATTTATTATCTTGTTACATTTTTATTATACTTACATAAGCATTTTAAGCACTCTAACCCATGAAACATGTTTATTTGTATTAGATAAAAGGAAAGAATATGGTAGCTCTCCATCGGTTTTACTATATTCTTAGTGTTGGAAGTTTTATGCGGTATACAAAGTAATTTGTATAGTGTGTTAAAGTGTACATTTGATCTTTCATTTTCTAAAACAGGCAATAGATAAGTGAAAAACCCTTTTGGAACCCAAAATGAGGTGTTTGTGGCCTATCAAAGATTCTATAATAAGTCAATTCTTTTTGTTTGAAGACTAAATACTGTACTTATGAATGTCTGGACTTCCTCTTCCCTTCCCCTCTCACCTTTAAAAGTTTTTAAATGTTAAAGGATATGAATAGGTGTATGTCATTGGGATTTAAATATACTTTGAAGCACATGTTTTCTATAGGGAGTTGGGCAAATTAAATGTTTCGGGCTACTAGAATGCTTTTTAGTGTAGATAGCTGTTGTTACTAAATGATGCCTGGTGGCTTGAAAGAGTTCATATGCTTCTATAAGTGCCAATTTTGTTCCCATGGAATAATTGACATGCTAGAATATTAGTGGTTACATTTGAATATTGGTTAGAAATTCATTCAGCATTAAATCTTGGCGACATTGTCTGCTGGAATCTTTGTAAGTTAAGTTAAGAAAGTCTAGGCACTTGGTCAGACTATTTTCACTGTTAAAGCAGCTCTTGTCAAAGGAATGTGTTGGCTGCTAATTTATGCCACAAGTGTGGAGTTTGTAAATCCCATCGTATATCTTTATAATCTGACCATCTATCCAATTTTAAATGGGTCTCAGTGTGGTGTCATGTATTATTTAATCTTGGGCTGTTTAAAATCTGAAGTTAGACCTCTAGGTTTTCTTGCAGAAAAAACCTTAAGTTTTAGAGTTTCAGATATGTAGAACAGAGTCTGGTATTTGGCCGAGTTTCTAGGAATGACGAGTGTGTATGGGGAGTGGCCACATGGAAAGAGGAGAGCAGGCTGAGCTTTTATTTCCGGTCATGATGTCCATCCCCGACTGTCTGCAGTTGTGCTAGCCTGGCCACATCCGACTAAAGCTGGGAGTTTCTTACCATGGAGGTTACTGGCAAAGATGTGGCTTTTAAAACTTGTCTCCTCCAACCCTTTTATCTTACAGATTTGGCAATTGAGCACCAAAGTTGTTATAATTTCCCTTGTTCACATAGTGTAGTGGCTATCAAATAATCCCTTTGTGGTATAGAACAAGAAAATTTTCAGATTCCCTCCAAAAATAATAGAAAGTAACTATTTGGTTCTAATTTTTTCTTCTAGAGCATAGTTAGTTGAATAAGGCTGCTTGTTCTACTACCTGGTGGCCATTTAGATATTTAGATTTAACTGTTGTCTTCCCTTACTCTTATTTAGGCTGAGTAGCCTGTTTTCTTTTCCTCTCAGCCTTCCTCTTTCAGATGGTTTCTAGATATCCTGAATATTCCTGGCTAACTCCTGCCAGGTGTTCTCTGGATTGCTGTTAGTACTTTGGTCTAAGCTGGTCAGACTACAGTTGAACTTGTAATTTCCAGAGGACCAGGCCTGCCATCGCTTCTCTGAATGTAATTTAAGTTTACATTAACCTTTCAAGCAACTATGGCATACTTTTGGCCCATATTAATCTTACTATAATTTTAAGGTACCTAATTACTAGATGAGAGTTTTAATCTTGGAGACCTTACCTCATATGTTTAAATGCATCCATAGCTCATTAAATAACATTTTAAAAATTAAAGGCAAGATAGGAATATCTTAATTAGAAATGTTTCTATCAGTTCCAGAATTCCTATACTGTGAAACTAACCTATACATTACATCATGTGTGGTTTTTGGTCAATATTAAGTTTAAAAATAAAGTTGACAGGTTTGGTAGATGCTTGTATAATAAGCATTGATTTGAATTTTGCAGTTTTCTTTTTTATTAGAGAAAATGATAAGGGATATTTTCTGCTCTTGAGCATTTTTAGTGGTCCCTAAAAAATATTTGTTCCCTGCTACTGTGTGCCTTTGAATAAAGTGCTCTGTAGGTAACTAACCATTGCACACATAGTCAAGTAGTTCATCTTGTCACCAACAAAGTAAACAGGTTTGTTGAGAACTTATTAGTTGCAGTGACTTTTAATCACTTAATAGCTATTGCTTTAACAATGGCAAAATTATGGGAACTTTTGTGATTTGCTTACTGTGAATTCTAGCTTGGACTCCGGACTCAGAAATTCTAGGATATTTGAACTCAGTCTAGCAAAAGTAGCCTTATCTAGCCACCTCTGTCATTAGTTATGTGGTATGTTTGTAACAAGCCTTGGAATTACATATGTTTGTTGAGTTTCTTAGAATTTTTTTTATTACTGTGGGCATATTTTCTGTTTGAAAAGATTCTATTGTTTTGTAGACTCCTTGTTTGTAATTAATAGACTGTTGTGAATTGAACCTAATTGAGAACTTAAGTCATAAATGTCAGAAAACCACTTTACATAATTTGATAATTTTGAGAAACATTTCTTCCTGATGACAGTTTTATTTTACTTGTTCGTGGTATTCCTTAGTAGAATTTTTGTATAAATTGATTCATGGTACTGACCGTTGTTTAGTTTATTAAACTCCAGCTCTGTAAGGCATTGTGTGATGATTCAAAGACAGATCGATAGGTAAACCAGGGACCTTCTCAAATTATAGTCTGGTTATGGTTTAAAAGTTCTGTGCAAAGATTTATAATAATATAAAAGCAAGTTGTGATGAATACAGTAAAGAAAGATGCAGAGAGCTATCCGAAGTCAGAAGTGAAATATGGGTTAAGATCAGGCAAGTCTTAAAAATTCATATTCTTACAGCTGCCAGAAAAGTGATGGAAATAGCAGCCAAGTTAAGTTAAATGGTCAAGTGTGAGCCATTCAGGGTTGTGAGGGCTGGGTTAAGTTCACATCCCTGGCTCTAGCCAGTTGCCATGTTAGAATGCCTCATGGTATTTCAAAGCTGGACATCTAAATCTATATGTGAAATCTCCCAGCTAGAAATTTTAGATTTTTAACTCTTAAAGCTGAATTCTGAGCAGCCATTTGCAACTTCTGGCATAGGTAATCAGGGAAGATTTTGTAAAGGGAGTAGTATTTTGGTTGAGCCTCTGTTACTAGGATTTCAACAGGCTCTAATGATCTTAGATTATTAACAGCCTTTCAGGACAAGAATCAGGATTCAGAAAGTTTTTAAAGTTCTCCTTTATTGAGGTATAATTTACATATAGTAAACTATACCCTTTTAGGTCTACAGTTTGATAAATATGCAGTTGTATATAATCATCATTACAATCAATATAAAAGATTTTCATCACCCCAAAAACTTCCCCCTCTCCCTTTGTAGCTAATACCCTTGCCTCTTACTCCAAGTGGTTGGCAATCACTGAACTTTCTGTACTTTTGTGCGTTTTTGGAAGGTCATAAATGGACTCATACAGTATGTTGTATTTTGTGTCTTCTTTGATTTGGCATAATGCTTTTAAGATTCATCTGTTTTGCATATATCAGTAAGTTCTTTTTTATTGCTGACTCATATTCCATTATCCGTGTACCATATTTGTTTATGCATTTACCAGTTGTTAGGAAATAGGGTATTTCCAGCTTTTGGCTAACGTGAATAAAGATATTTGCATCAGATCTTTATGTGGACGTAGGTTTTTATTTCTCCTGGGTAAATAACTGGGAATTAAGATTGCTGGGTTGGATGATAAGCATGTTTATGAGAAACTGCCCGTTTTTCAAAGCAATGTACCATTTGCTCTTCCACCAGCAATATATCAGTGTTTTTATTGCTCTGCATCCTTGCCATTTCATAATTACCTATGTTTTAAATTTTAGCAGATGTATAGTTGTATTTCATTGTGGTTTCAATTTGTATTTCACTCATAACTAATCACTAATGGTGTTGAGTATCTTTTCATGTGTCTCTTTGCCATTCATATTTCTTAAGTGACTGGTTACATCTTTTGCCCTTTTTATAATTAATAGTTTTACTGTTGAGTTTTAAGAGTTCTTTTATGTATTCTCAGCCAGGTGCAGCGGCATGCATGTATAGTCCCGGCTACTTAGGAAGCTGACATGGGATTGGTTGAGGCAAGAAGTTGGAGACCAGTCTGGGCAATAGCTGGACCCCTAAGTCTTTTTAAAAAAATGAATAAAAATTCTTTATGTATTCTGGATCCATGTCCTTTATGAGATTGTGTTTTGCAAGTGTTTTTCCAGCCTATTGGCTTGGCTTGTCATTTCCTTAAGAATGTCTTGAAGAGCAGAACTTTTAAATATTGATGAAGTCCAATTTATCTGGGTTTTGGGTGTCTGTGTGTTAAGTGGTTTGTGCTTTTTGTGTCAGGTACAGTTCTGATGATGTGTTAAAAGGATGGTTTGGCTAGAGCATAATCTGTATTATAAAGTAAGGACAGATGAGGTTATGAATTTAGGTTGGGATTGAGTTGTGGAGGACTTTTGAAGGCTTGTTTAAGAGTAGATCTGAGTTCAGTATATAGGATAGATTGCAGGAAGAAGGGAAACTGCAGCAACTTGGAAAAAAAATACTACAATAACCCAGGTAATGAGATAGAACGAGAACAGAAGAATAAGAATGAAAGG